GCAAGTATTGACAGTGTGTGGGAGTTCCTTTTTTATTTTTTTTTATTATTATTATTTAAAAAGCAAAACCCAGTGAGGTGAATGAGTACTTTGAATGGCGATAAAATTAAGCACAAAAGTAGCATTTTTCTGTTTTTCATTTCTTTGCATTCATTTACAAAGTGTATCGGAAGTGATGATGTACAGAACAAGAAGACATCAAAGCTATGAGCAATGACAAAGACAGCTGATAAGGTTAGTTTTGTAGCTCTCAGACAGAAGTGATCTCCCTAATGTGGATACTCTGTCAGCTCTCAGCATCACATGATCATGCAACATGATCTCATGAGTATTCTTATATATTGTTATGTATCGTTACTCCCCTAATGTTTAGATGTTGTAAATACATCCATGATTTACGTTTCAGCATCTATTTAGACTTCTGCTAAAAGAACACTAGCTAAAAGTTTATTAGAGATGATATCTTAATGTATCGTGCAGATATGCAAATGAAAATGTTTTTTTGTGGGGCTTGTATCTGTATTTCTGTAATTTGATTCCCTAGGTTATTTTTTAGTCCAAAGTCCTAGGCTAAAATCACGTACTGGCTCGGGATCATGTGATTAGCTCACTGTCCTTGTGCCTAAGTCTTGATCCAAATAAATCATGGCAGGATAACAAAATCATGAACGGTAATATAATTTGTCCTCCTCTCTGTTAACAAAAAGAACAAGAGTTGAACAGGTTCCCTTGTTTAGATGTGATGTGCTAACAGACCTCTGATTGTCTGTGAAGATTGTGCGATCTGCAAGATGGCAGTCGACATACATGCGTCTATGCATAAAAGAAGGAATGCTAATGCACGTCATTGGACAGCTGCCATTTACAGACTTGCTTGGGTTTTCACTAAACACCAGAGTTCCTTGAACAGTGAAACCGTGCTTAGGGTTTCAGATTAGACTCAAACTCTCTGTAAGTGTCTGCGATCTTCTTAAGACGCTGAAGTGCCTATTTTTTGAATTAGCTTATGGTGTGTATACGAGTACATTAATGCTTCAATCTTTTCCAGTGCAGATGGTTTAAAGCTTGATGAACTGAAAAGGGGGTGCGCTGCTTTACGGCGCTGGAAACTCTGTGGAGACATAAAACCCTCAATCCAATACAGATGGGAAATAGGGACGCCTGCCAGACTCACTGTTTCTCTCTGCCTTTTTTTTTGGTCGTACACCATTGCTAAATGTTACATGCAAATGCAGTGGGTTCTTCCCCTCCTTTCTGGCTCTCTCTGGACGTGAGTCTCGTAAATAGGGAATACTCGCAGTGTACGGTCCTGCGCAGTAGAGGAACAGCAGCTGCTGTCAGATTGTGCTGGGAAAAGCTTGCTGTGGGGAAAAGTTTTACCGTAAAAGGGGCTCGGGGAGTCGACGGGGGTGGACGAAATTTATAAGTGCTGACCTGTAAGGGCTACTTCTATCAACCTTACCAAATCACTACGTCGCTCTTCCACACCACAACTCGGCTCCAAATGAGATCCACATGCCTTCCAAACCTATTATATAGATCCGTAGTGCAGAGCCAGTGGATTTGAGAGAACATTCCACAACACTCAGAGTCTTTTATATGATTATTTGGCAGAGCTTTTGGTTCTTTGCTCACTCACTGTACGCCCTGTCCCTAATTATCACTCATTAGTCATTAAACACCTATAATTAAGAAATCATTCTCAGGTGACACTTACTCTGATATAATGTAAATTAATAAAAAAATATCTCTATTAAAAAGATGCTTGATTGAATTAATATGTATGTGTGTGTGTAATTCACAACGTATATTCATATTAATTCAATCAAGCATCTTTTTAATAGAGATCATTTACATTTATTAATTTACATACAAATGCCCATATACAGTATATGCATATACATTATATCAGAGTGTCACCTGAGAATGATTTCTTAATTATCTTTTTCTTTTGGGGTAATGTTCAATTCAACTCTTAACTCTCTTCTATTTCAATATATATTAAAATGTAATTTATTCCTGTAATGGCGAAGCTGAATTTTCAGCAGCATGATCTTAGTTTCTTTTTTTTTAAACAAAAATAACAAAAGTATTTGTTGGGATTCTAAGAAAGAATGCAGAATCCAGGCTTGCTGTAGTTATACTGGCTGAGAGGCACTTCAACTGGATCAGAGCTCAAGAATTGGCTTTTTTGTGTTTGCAAGTCCATGCCCCATTACAGACCAATAAACTTATATGAGTGGAATTAACTTGGTAAACCGTGTATATTATTTATTATGGATCTGTTAGACGTTGAAGTAAAGATATACTGGCATATAGCACAGAATTAGTTCTCAGAAACTTTTGCAAAATAGTCATAAAGTGTGCAAAAACCCTGGTGTCTGTCATATTGGTCCAGAAGAACAGCCCATATGAATGTTAATGCCCAGCACTGTGATGAATAAATGACCAATTAACTGTTTGGAAATGTATGACTCTATAAGCTCATCCTCATTCCATCCAACTTTTAAACAGGACCGTTCCGTTCCATCTGGTTGTTTTCCTCAGCGCCCATATGCAAACATTATCTCTTCCTCATGCTTATGTTTTCTGCACAGAGACCGCGTGCAGCACATAGTGTGATCGTTCCAATGTGTCCGAACACTCAGTCTGCCAGGAAAAAGTTAAGCACCTAGGCTTGCAGATAAATAGTCCTCATCAGCTGTACCATGGAGCGCAATTGTGTGGAAACACTGGAATTCTGCAAAAGCAGAACAAACACTTTACTAATCATTTCTGAGAGTGCACTTTCTTCGCTAAGATGTTTCTGTGTTCTTACCTATGACGCTACTGTTTTCCTTTAGATTGAACTATGATGCCCCCTAACTTTCTGTGATAGACGGCTGTCATTCAGGCATGAGGAAAACATCCCTCAGTAACTGGAAAACCGCAACAATCTGCCTTCTCAACTCTCTCAAATCAGCATATGTTCACTCTTATGAGCTGCTGTACATGCTCTGACTTTGTTTGCATTAGCCAAGACTGGATTACCAGCGACAGGCTGGGCGCAATGTAAATGCAGCGCACAAAGCACATATGTCAGCCTTTAAATATATATATTTTATTAATGTATAATGTGATGCCTGCTGTATGCTTCCCTGTAGAGGAAGCCTGACTGCTTACCTTATTAGTCCTCTGTTGATACTAGCATTAAGGCAGACAAGATGCTGCCAGTTGCTTGTCTTAGAACACAGGTCTTGGTTGGACCGAGCACGGTGGCGCATACCGACCGAGGATTCACAAGCCCTCCCGTAGTGCTCAGGGTTCTGGGAAGCCATTCATTATCGTCTGACATATATTTATTAACTGGCAGGGACAACAAGACTATAGCTTGTTCAGCATGTACATTTGGATAAATGAATGCCCACTAGGTCAGACTAGGCCTGCAGTGATTATTATAATATCCTATGTTATTATATTAGATTATTATCATAATTGCCTGATCACAATTATTTGAGATTATTGTCCACTGTAAATTACAATCATAAATTGAAATGTATTTATTTATTTTAGAAATAAAATTTTCATTTTATATCTTTAGTAATAAAAGTGGTGACACGTTAGATTTAATTTAATTAGTTTTTATCTTTGTATTTTATTTTATTTTTTTAATCCTTTTTTGGTTTTGTTTTAGTAATAAACAAGGGACCTTTCCTTTGTACAAAAGTCAGGTTGGACTGTTAGATTTTATGTAATTTTTTTATTTTCCTTTTTTTGTTTTTGTTTTAATAAATGGGGTAACTTTCCTTTGTACTGAAGTCAGGTTGGACAAATTCGATTTTTATTTCTTTTTTGTAATTTCTTTTATTTTAAGCTGGGGACAAGTCGTGTATTTTATGTATTTTATTTTATTTGTAATGTTTGGTAACATTTTATTGTATTATTTTATAAATTTGAATACATTACTTCTTAAGGTGTATACATGTTAAGCCTATGCTTTAAGTAACATGAACAAAACACAATTTAATCATTAATAACAATTAATTTTGTTACAAGATTTCATATTTGTGATACCCCTAGTGAAACCTGCTGAAAATGAGCAGTGCTGCTCTAAGCAGTGAGCACTGGACTTGAGAGCTTCTCTATCACCTGTGCATTTGAGACAGATTTACGCATTCTGGGCTCTCAAGAGTGGGAAATAAGTACACGAATAAGCCACTTAAGCTCTCCTTCAACCCCAGAGACCAAAAGCTCAAGCTGATAGTAGTGACGGGCTTTCCCAAAGAGTGGCTTTTTCGTAGAGAAGTGTGTGCCTGAGGAGAGGCCCGTGTCTTAACGGGCCTGAGCCTTGGAGACGGCAAGGGTCATAAATCCCGCCTCTCCAAAGCCCTCACTGCTTCAACTGCGTTCCTGAGCATCTCCATTGAGTTTTTCTGACCCAGTATGCCACGCTCTAATGCTTAATGGCCATTAGGAACACCCTGGACTTTTATTTCAGTAATGAACAGGGAAGCATTCTTTTGTACAGCAGTCAGGTTGGACAAGTACGACACAACAGAGCTACTAATATAGGGTTTGACACTCTCCCACATAATTACCAGGCATGCTAATAAAAAATAAACTCTATAATTCACAAATTCAAAGACACAAAATGCCAGTTGTGTTCACCATACTTGTGGTTTTCATGAGTAGAAATTGCACCTGGTTTTATGTGTTTTCAGCACACCACAAAATTAGTCCGCCTTCCTTTTCAGGAGAATATAACAAGAGAAGAGATTTCAGGCTAGATTACATCGCATTGAGGAACCATGACCAATAAGTGAGACAGAGACAGACCCTGGCCTGGAAATTCCCTTTCCCACCTTGTTTATGTGGTTCAGCACTGTGCAATTTACATCTGTTTAATCACACACCAGGATCTGTGCTTTAATGCTTATATTGCTTATATAAAGCATGTCCACAACTTGTTTTGCATCAATCTTTAAATACTGCATATAATATGTCTCTGTTTTGTTTTCCAGCTCCTTCTACGGTGTCTATCATGCATCAGGTCAGTCGCACCATTGACAGCATCACTCTGTCCTGGTCCCAGCCTGACCAGCCCAACGGGGTCATTCTCGACTATGAGCTGCAGTATTATGAGAAGGTACCACATAAACACACTTGAGTAATGTATGCCCTTTTAGTGCATTAACGCATGTCATGTCATTTAACATGTTCATAAGCATGCATTATTAATTTTTGGTTATGTGAGGGTGACTTATAAATGATAAGTATTAAAATGATCAACACTATTTTAATATTTTACTTTACATAAATTGAACTAAAAACAAACAAACAAGTAATGCTAATGTATTAAAGTTCCTTGTGAAAAAGGTTGCTGATGTTCGATTGCTGTTTAATTGAGGCTTTTGGCAGCTGTCGGACATGAATAGCGAATTCCTTTTCTGTCGTACTTTATTACAAACGCAGTTGCTCTGCAAAAGGCTGTTGTGGTTCGATCCGGATACCAGTGGCTAAAATAACAGAGATTTCACTGAAGTAAAACAAATATTTCAGTTACAGATTCCTCTCAGTCAGCGCAGGCCACAGAAAACACACACGCTAACTTGTGCTTGAGAAACACGCACACCCACATAGTATGCCGATATTCTTTCAGTCTCCCGTTTCGCTCGCTTTGTTGCGCTGGTTGACACACATAAGACAACCACACCCTTAAATACAACACGCATAGTTTAACAGATACTTTCTGTCTTTTCTTTCTTTGTAATATACACACACACACACAAGCTGACTGTCCCATGGGCTCTGCTCCTGTTCTTACTCTTTCCTCAGACAGTGCTGAGGACCGCCTGTCAAAACACTGCAAAACACTGCAGCAAAGCTCACATCACAGAGCTCAGAAATAGAGCTGACAGGAAAAAAACGGAGCACTCAAGTAGTACATGTATAGACACACACTGAGTCCTACATTCTCTGCTTCTCCTTCACTATCACTCTTTCTCTTCTTTGCTTACACAAACAGACACTCAAGCGGTGTGACAGTGGCCACAGCTTTCAACCCAGACTAATGAATCGTGGCTGGCCTGAAAGTGTCAGCCACCGTTCCTGTGCCCAACACCCTTAGTCGGGCTCTCCTGATGGGGTTTGATGAGATAGATAGCCCTGTTAGAGAGCCATATGTTCTCTTCTGAGTCTCTTGAGATGTCTAAAAATGTGTCTTTACCCTTTTTTTGGTCATTTCTGTTTCAGGACCAGACGGAGCATAATTCTTCCATAGTAAAGAGTCAAACCAACACTGCAGTCATCCGTGGCCTCAAACCCGGAGGCATCTACGTCTTCCAGGTCCGAGCCCGTACGGTGGCGGGGTTCGGACGCTTCAGCGGCAAGATGTACTTCCAGACCATGACTGAGGGTGAATATCTAATCAAAATGATGATAAAACAATGGTTTATTTACCGTAAAACTTCAAATAATAGCCGTGTCCCAAATAGACGCCTGTCTCTTTTACACGCCTGGTGTGGCTGCAGGTTTGGGTAAATAAAGGCCAGTCTCAAATAGAGGCCGGGTCTGTTTTTTTGTTTCGGGTTGCATTTAATCTTATAAAACCCGTCAGATCGTCCGCTTTTTGGCGGCCGGCAAAGCAAATTTTTGTCCCGCCAAAGCCTTTTTTGATCGGTGAGTGATGTAGAATGACTGCGCTTGACAGGGCGCATAACGAGCAGAAAGAGAGAGAGAGAGCGCCCCGGCCGCGCGCGCGCACTCTCACGTCTTCAAACAACACGAGCGCTGTCCTGCTCTCTCTCCCTCGCGCATATTAATCAAAATTAATTGACACGATAGTAAAAGGTCGGAAGACCGCAGTTTCACGTGGAGCATTTGGAGATTTTTAGAGATTAGAGACTAGGCCTACACTCAATGAACAACATCTCAACACTAAATTATAAAGGCCTGTCTCATATAGACGCCTGTCTCAAATACAAGCCGGTGCAGTTCGATGATTTGGGAAAATAAAAGCCCGGGCTATTATTTGAAGTTTTACGGTAATACAAAATCACTTCTTCAAATTTGGCATTCATGGGAATAAATTACATGCATATGATTTAGCCCATCATTTTCCCAGTTCTTATCTTAAGAGCAAGCCTGTGTGTAATTGACTTGCTGAAGCAGATAGTTCATCTACTAATCTAATCGTCTAATGATGATCCATGTTAGCATCTCCAAATGCCCTGTCCTCTCTCTGCTGCATGTTTCTGATTAGATTCAGTATAAATGATATCTTGGGTCAAAAAATGTAAATTTGAACAATTTTTTAGTTAAAGATACTCTACATATTTTAGATAATTATTTATATTATTAATAATATAAATAATAATGGGGGGAAAACATACAAATTTGTTACATAAATAATACTGTTTTGCTTATGTAGTTTGGGCCTGTTTTTAGATTCTGTTCGCAAAACTCTGCAGAGGAAGAATGGTAGCTGAAACATGCCATTGGATGGCCGCCCATCGTTTTGCCCTTCCCAGATCTCCTCATACAGAGGCAGCTGCTCACTCATGGCTCCTTACTCTCTAAGCCGATTATTATGAGCGGAGAGTCAGAATTAGTCTGATCTATCCTCCCGAGCTCTCTCCTGGCATGATGAGAGACAGCAACTCAGCAAGGTGATCCAAACACGGATGTGTCATGCCAGCAGGCTGCGCTCATTTGGAGTGATTTAACCAAGAGTTTTAAAACCGATTAAAAAGGAAGTTACAGTGCAGTTGAATTCACATGAGACCTGATGAAGTTCAGGTTTTTGTTTACTTTCTACATCAGCTTTTGGGAGCTCGGAGCAAGTGTTTAAATGTGGTAAAATCTGGTAGCACGCTAGCAGCTTACTTAGCCTCTAGGGTTGCAGAGTGAGCCCAGGGGGTTGTCTGCGTTGTGAACGAATAGTCTGTAATTATAAACAACTAGAGGAGAACGAGAAAGCTAGGCAGGAAAGGAAGGGAAAAGAAAGTTCCCCAGGCCTTCCCAATATCCCAATCCGTCTGTTTTGCACCAACACATTTCCTCTACCGCCTGCCCATATGCTGCTGTAGCCAAGGAGTACAAGTGTACAGCCCTGTCTGCCTTAAGGTATCTTGCACAGCGCTTCCTGTCCCAGATTCCCCATTGTGAAAGTGGGGAAGTGAGGGTCTCTCACCTGTGTAGACATACACTGCAGGACTCCTGTGCCTCAGTGGAGTCTGAACTTGCTTCAGGCTGCTTCATATATAGAGACACACTGGTGGGGTTTGTCAGTAAGTGCTAACTTTTGGATTTGTGTGTGTGTGTACCTACAGAGGAGTACAACACTAGCATTCAAGAGAAGCTGCCTCTCATCATTGGCTCGGCGGCTGCTGGACTGGTCTTTCTCATTGCGGTGGTGGTCATCATCATCGTTTGCAACCGGTGAGTTCCTCTGTGTGTGTTTTAAACATGTAAACCATTAGCATAGCTTTCCCCCAATTATACCAACAACATGTCAAAATCTTACGCCTTTGTCCTCATTTGCTTCATTAGTGGACATTTACAGAGCAGCAGAGCTCGTAAAAACTCTAATGATGAGGTTGTGTTAACAAGATGATGGTGGGCGGTAGTAAGTGTTGTTTTCATGGCATTAGCACCTTTTTAAACAGTACAAGTAGAGCTGTTTGCCTTTGTTCTTTCAGACGTGGGTTCGAGAGAGCGGATTCAGAATACACGGACAAGTTGCAGCACTACACAAGCGGCCACAGTGAGTACTTAGGACTTGACAGTACTATACACACACTATGTATACATTTCTTCGTACCCTGTCATTCAAAAGTTTGGGGTCAGTAAAATTTTTTGTTTAGGACTGTTTTCAATGTTGAAAACATGTTTCTGTTCAAACCGGGATACTTTTTTTCAGGGTTCTTTGATGAATAGAAAATTCAAAAGTCTTTAGTGTCACATTTAGTGCATCATTGCTGAATAAAAGTATTTATTTCTTTCAAAAATTTTACTAACCCTAATCTTTTGAATGGTAGTATGTATTTTTGTATTAATGTATTTTTTTCTCCATACTTTATTTTGTTACATACATACAAACACTTACTAAAGCACTCTCTTACGTTTACCCACTTCAGACACCTCTACTGTATCTCTTTCACTGTCAAACACACTGGGCCCTATCTTGCACCCGGCGCAAATGACTTTGTACACTGACGCATGTATCATTCCTATTTTGCACCCGCGCAAAGCGGGCTTTTCCCTCCACAGACGCATGTTGGTAAACTAGGAAATTAACTTGCGCTCCCTGGGCGGGTCGGCGCAAAAAGGAGGCGTGTTTCGGCGCAAGCATTCCCTAGTGCTATTTTGCAGTTCCAGAAAACAATTCCGCCACTGACCAGATAAAACCTAGTCTAAAGTCAGTGGGGCGTTGCGCGTTGTTCATAATGCTATTTTAAGCGCGCATGCTTGGCCATGATGTAGCGGGTGCACAACGCGCATATACACTTTGATTCTCTCATCAACACAGATGCAGCAGTTTTTATTTTTGCAAATCATACATTACAAGGAAAAATATTAACACATGAGGGAAATCATTGTGGTGTCCATGAAGATGTAATAAAATTTAGGCCTAAATCTAGCTTACACATTTACCCAAATTTTTCAGGCTAATTGTAGTAATGACGGATCAGACCTGTTTGCCCAATAGTGGCAAGACACATATGTATATAAAGACATCTGACAAATTAGTTTGTCCGTCAAGAACCATGAAAAAAAAAATCTCCCATCCCCATACAACATCACTTCTCTGTCTTTCACTGCCCTCACAAGAACGTCGGTCTCCTCGGCTGTGAACCGCTCCTGGCGCGCGCTTGGTAAATCCGCCATAATAACAACAATCCACCATGCAACATGCGCACCTGCTCTTAAAGGGTATGTTGGATGACGCTCTGATTGGTTTATTTCACGTTACGCCCAAACCACACCTATGAATAATGAAGCTACTTCAGACCAACCCCTTTTAAACTTGCGTCGGGCGCAAGAGTCATTTATCCCGCCGGTAAAATAGCAACAGCGCCCAAGACCCGCCCACAAAGTTACTTAAGCTTCGCGCTTGCGTTTCAGATCGTTAAAATAGGGCCCACTGTCTTAAAGTTAGACCTCTGTTTCTCAAGATTCATCTGTGAAATATTAATCCCAGTTTCCCTCAAAAATCTCATCAGAGAGCCCATTATATCCACTTTCCCTACGAGCGATTTCGTTGTTTGTCTTTGTTCTTTTGCTTAGTTCTTTTTCCGCCACTTGTTTATTTTCCCATCACAGTAGTACACAAATCTAATGCAAAAAGAGCTCAGTGCCAGGTGTTTCAAAGTTAGTAAGATCCATCAAAGATTAGTCAGAAAATGAGCAATACTTCAGTAAATACCATCTTAGCCTCGGAGTGCTGTTCCATTTATAGAAATAAATCTTTAAGATTCTCTCGAGGCAATAATTTAAAGCTAAGCTCGCTCACTTGCTCTTGCTCACTCTCTCTCTGAGGGCTTATAGTTTATCTCTCTCTTGCTCACTCTGCTGAATGAAAATGGTCTGGCACTTTTCCTCAAGTTTTATTTCTATTTGCCCTTCCTTATCAATTTAAACAGCTTTTACGCAGTGTAATCATTGGTAAAGGACTGCTGTAAATGCTGTATTTATTGAAATAATTTCTGGAAGAGTGTGGGGCTGGTAAAACCTAGAAAAATCAAGGACCGAATTCATCCATTAGTGCTCAAGAGAAGAAAGTGCTCTAATTCTCTCTCTTCTCACTTGTACTTGTCTTGTTCACGCTTTCTTTCTCTTTTGCTTACCCAGTTTTTTTTATCTTAAAAATGGGAAAGTTTGCTAAAAATTAAAATTCTGTCACCATTTTTGTTTTCTTCGGTAAAAAAAAGGGGCAATGTTATGCAGAATGTTTGTGCTGCTCTTGTCCATATCATGAAAGGGAATGGGAAAAAGAGCAGCATCAACATCAACACAATTTCCGTATGTGCTCCACGGAGGAAAGAAAGTTACATGGTTTGGAACAAAGTGAGGGTGAGTAAATGATGACAGATTTTCATTTTTGGGTGAACTATCCCTTTAAAAGCAAGCTCTACTCAGAAGAACATTCTCCAGCGTAGCACATACACTACAACCTCATGATTTTATAATAGTTTGACGTTCGCAAATCCTTTGACGTTGGATGCCATTCACTTCTCTCGCTCTATTTATCTTCTCCTTGTCTGTTGTGAGAATACATTTATCAATTCCAAAATGTCTGTGCAGCCAGATCACCAATTATATATATATATATATTTTTTTTAACTCTCCAGCTGCAAGAAAACACAATGTCTATTAAAATGCCTTTGGATAGATTTGGAGCCGAGAGGCTGAATAATCTGATTTAAGGCAGGAATGACACACACATGAGTCCCCACACATTTAAGTTCAACTTAAGCCAATTTACCTGCAATCAAAAGCCATTTGATTGGAAATTGTTGATAAATGGTCTCCATCAGGGACTATGACACTCCAGAGCTGATACATACATTAAAATGCCTTATCTTTCTCCTTGCGAATGCTGTTACACTCCACTGACTGCAGTCATGAGCTACTCCAATGTCAGGCTCAGAATCCAAAGCTACTGGAAAGCCAGCCATTCCCAAAATTTCCAAAGACCCACATCACTAATGCTTTCAAACATTTACACTGACTATTCTGATGTGCTGCTGTATTGTATATAGTATTTTAAATTAGTTTGAAATATTATAGCTGTTTTTTTTGTTTTTTTTAAGTGTCACCAGGAATGAAGATCTACATTGATCCATTTACCTACGAAGACCCCAATGAAGCTGTGAGGGAGTTTGCAAAGGAGATTGATATCTCGTGTGTGAAAATTGAGCAAGTCATTGGAGCAGGTAATCAAACCTCCAAACATCCAACAGTGTTTTACCATGAAGCTTTTCTTGTGCCTTAACCTAAATAACAATCCACTTGTCTTTATCCAAAGGAGAGTTTGGAGAGGTGTGCAGTGGAAACCTAAAGCTCCCAGGAAAGAGAGAGATGTTTGTGGCCATCAAAACACTGAAGTCAGGTTACACAGAGAAGCAGAGGCGAGACTTCCTGAGCGAAGCGAGCATCATGGGGCAGTTTGATCACCCCAATGTCATCCATTTGGAGGGAGTGGTGACCAAGAGCAGCCCCGTCATGATCATCACTGAGTTTATGGAGAATGGCTCATTGGACTCTTTCCTCAGGGTGAGGATTTTTGTGATGCAAACTATATACCCTAATTGAAAGCAGTGATAAATTAATGTTTATATATATTTAATGTGTGTATATATATATAATTTATAATATTAATATAAATATATTTAATAAAAAAATGTCATACTATACATTATAATATTGTTTTGCCTAAATTCACCTTTTTTTAGCATTTAAAACAATAGATTTTTGTTTGTTTTATTTTTTAATATATTTAGATAAAATAGTATTGAATTTTAATATCAGCCATTTATCATTTATTGTCCATTACATAATTATAATCTTATTAGTTGTGTCTAGGATTTTAATATTGTCCGTCCCTAGTACTTCAAAATATACAAGTCAAAATATGCAGGGCAATATGTGTGAACACTCATGGACAATGACTTCTTTGAAACAGACCTTCTGAATGAACTGATTCTTTATAATAATGTGGATTTCCCCAAGCAAACAAAAGCTCAGTAACATAAACATGCTTCAAATGCTGGTTGCATTGAAGTGATAATCTCACATCAGCAGGTGTGTATGCGCATCAGCATGCTGAACATCATACAAATGTTCACTCCTAATTTCTCATGCTGTCCATCAGGTAATTCTCCACAGGGTCTCTCTGTAATACCCAGCTGCCCCCTGCCGCAAACATCTACTCTCAGTATTGATTCCAGCTGTAGGACTGTTGTAATAAGCTCAATACTCTTCCATTCATCTCTACGGGTTGCCACACTAACATTTGCTTTAAGACGGTCTCTTTAAAGAATTCGTTGAATCGTTGCTCTGTGGTTAGTCATGCCCTCATTTCGCATTGGTCACGCTCTCTCGGCCATGTTCTCTGCATTACAAGCATCAGATGAGCGTTTTGTCTTATAAACTGAGCCGTCATATTTACTTCCGTCCTATATCGTAGAACACACAGAATAAGAAAATTGTCCTTAGTGTTTTAATTTGAAAACTCTTAGCTTGAGGAAACATCTCTCTGCAGTTTCCCAAAACAGCATCCATCCCTGCAGACGCATTTAGATGATTAACTAAATCATACGAGTGCAAAAACCATCCAAATCCCCGCTTACAGAACAGCGTGGGGGATGATAAGAAAATGGCTCTGTCAGACTATGACTGGCACGCGTCAATTTGATTTCAAAGCAGAGCTGATGTGGATAAAATAGGTGTCCGGATGCCTTGATCGCTGCTAATTGGCCTCACTGTGTATTGCGTCGAAAATATGCCTTTGATTTATGTAAATATGTAATCTTTAGGGAAGGAATGATTTATTTTGCTCATTAGTAAGACTTTGCCTCTGATCTATCATGAGAGAAAACTTATTTTATCCTTGACACATAGCTTTTCGATGTGTTAGTCTCAGGAAGTGTAATTATCTGAAACAAGGAACCTCTATGATTATGTAGTTTAAACAAAGGCAAGTAAACAGGAACCAAACGACCTGCCATTTGTTAGATATTTGAAATGAATTTATTTCTTCTCACCACAATCAGATCCAGCTCTTGCTAACCTCTGTAATTGTGAGGTTGTGATGTTATTTTAGCTGTTTGGCCAGCCAGTTGTTTCGCTCGTGTTTATACTTGCACAGCCCACACCATGACAGAACGCACATGCCCTACCGTGCCATAGCGTGAGGAAAAGATTGATGTCTGGTAATGTAAGTAGAAGTAAGAGTGAAAAATTACAACAAACACCTCATACATCAGGTTTACTCTGGGTTTAAATCACAATTCTATGTTAAAAACGTTTGAAAAAGACCAGCTAATGTGTCATAAAATGCTCTAATAACGTCAGTTTGGTGGCGTGCGGGAGCTTTGAAACGCCTCAGATCTTTGTGCAGCCGCACAATTGTGTTGTTTTTGCAAGACTGTCATCCATTTCTGACAGAACGCCGAATTCTTTGAAAACAACACATCTCTGTTGTGGCACCTCACTATGACAGCAGATGACAACATTGTGTGTTAGTGCTGAAGCGCTAGAATGTGAGTCGGATGGGGGGGCTCTACGCTAACCTGTCCTTCTTGCATTGATCCAACTTCCAATATTGTTTTGTGGGGATTAAGAACCATGAGAAGAGAGAGAAATTCAAAAAGGTATGCTGCCAAAACTTTCAAACAGATTTGAGAAACGTCAAACTGAAAAGTTAAGCACAGCTTCACAGAACCGGCAGCAAAGACATGTCTGAAAAGAAACAGCACGGATAGAATAATTCACGTTTAATCGGAATAAAAAGAATGTTTGCTTGCTCAGACTGCAGATCCAAATAACTTTGGGGTGAAGAATCCCTCCAATTAAACTATAGGCAAACACTGTGAGCAGATTAGAGTGCCAGGCTGTATTTGCGAAGGATTTCAGCTTTATGAATAATGGATGTCGCTTAATTGCTGTGGAGGGTGAGGAGAAGTTCGATGAAGTCGACTTAACATGGGGGAAGGGTTTGAGCGGGACACAAGCAGTTTAGAGAAGGAATGGTTTGTATGCGACACGGAATGAAGACATCGTATGGTTCTTTCATGCACCGTCTAATGCTTTCCGCCTCTCTCCACTTGACGCGTGCGTGTCTGTCCACACTGTGCCGGCTGCACTCGTCGTCTCTGATCAGAAGCTGAATGCTGCTTGCCTCATGGCTGTCTGCGGAGGGTCTGCAGATGAAGGCAGCTGCAAGCACAGCTGGGTCAGAAACTGCTGGACCTCCTCATGAGCAAAGGGCTTTTTGACCACCATGGTCAACAGCTGCAAGATTTGCCACGGGCCCACATTGATCATCGCATGTCTGATCTAGCATTGCGTAGCATAAACTCTACCAATCCTCACCAGAGTGTTTGCACAGCCAACCCAATCCAGGCTTGACTCAATGCATTGTGTTCGGTCTCTTATCTGACTGGGCACACTAGACATTAACCGTGATTTCCACTGCTTTATTCTTGTCTTAGTGCTGTTGTTTGGGATTTATAGGTTGACCAGGAGAGATATCTGTAGCACAATTTCATATAATATTTTTTTGTGCACTTCACCTTTACAAAAGCCTTGTATAAGAAGTTGGGCTGTGAATTGTTTTCAAGAAAAGATTGTATCTAATTAATCAGTTTTTTAATTGTGATTAATAGACTAGAACTTAATCATAAATATATTTACACATTGAATCCTCAAATTAATGTAGAAACAACATAAAAGAAGAAGGTTTTAAATAATAAATGGTGTATTTTTACTATCAAGGCCAGTAGTGGCGAAATACAAATAATTACATCATTTAAAATAATATAAGAAAGTAGTTTTTAACATTTAATAGGCCTAAACTTAACTTATCACTGTTTTTGTTTATCATTTATTAATAAATCAATCTTATAATCAATCTTATTAGTAAATATTATAGCAATTTAGATAAACTATACATAGACATGCACTAACAATCATCAGATAACTTGCTATAAAAAGTCACATTTGGTTCTGCTTTTATTTAGTGTGAAATTAAATTTGAGATTATGTTTCTTTGTTATTGAGAATTTAGTGCATTCTGCCCTTTTTTTGCAATCATTTTCATGCTAAATAAATAATAAAATCACTACTTGAAACACTTATCTTTATGTCTTGACCCATTTCAATTCTGTACGTGTTTACAGCAAAATGATGGGCAGTTCACTGTGATTCAGCTGGTGGGCATGTTACGAGGGATCGCCTCTGGGATGAAGTATCTCGCAGACATGAATTACGTGCACAGGGACCTGGCCGCCCGCAACATCTTAGTTAACAGTAACCTTGTTTGCAAGGTGTCTGATTTCGGACTCTCCCGCTTCTTGGAGGATGATACATCTGACCCCACCTATACCAGTGCCCTGGTGAAAACTCTTGTTTTATTTGATTTGCAAGTTTCATGTAAACTTGTGCTTTGATTTGAGATTATGTTTTTGATTTGGGTTTATACAGGGTGGGAAGATCCCTATTCGATGGACTGCCCCAGAGGCCATCCAATATAGGAAGTTCACCTCTGCTAGTGATGTATGGAGCTACGGGATTGTCATGTGGGAAGTGATGTCGTATGGAGAGCGGCCATATTGGGACATGACCAATCAGGACGTAAGTACCTAAGTGCTTACACTACTGTTCTAAAGTTTGGGGTCAGTAAGATTTGTTTAATGTTTTTGAAAGAAGTCTTTTATGGTCAAAAAGACTGCATTTATTTGATCAAAAATACAGTAATACGGTAATATTCTGAACAAGTATCACAATTAAAAAAAAAAACATTCTATTGATTTATTCCTGTGATGCCAAAGCTGAATTTTCAGCATCATTACTACAGTCTTCAGTGTTACATGATCCTTGGATTTGGTGCTCAAGTAACATTTCTAATTATCAATGTTGAAAACAGTTGTGCTGCTTAATAAGCTGAATAAAAATATTTATTTCTTAAAAAAAATAAATAAATAAAAATGTACTGACCCCAAACTTTTCAATGGTCGTGTAAATTTATTCTGCGGTTTCATGGTTAAGGAATTTGAATTCCTAGTTTTAAACAGTTATACAATTCTTTTTACTTTAGTTAGTTATTCAAATCTTCCAATTTCTGTTCCAACCTCATAACCTTTTCAAAGCTCCACATCCTCCATCTTTATTAAGTATAACCACCAATTTCTTATAAAACAATTTTTCAATAGAAGCAGTCAAACACTCATGCCAGAGACTATTGGTCGGTTGCCGTATGTTAGCGCGTGATAGATGAGCGCTGTGCTGCAATGTTGAATCAGAGGCTAAGGTAAACAGCAGAGCGAGCACGTCGTAAATCTGCCCATGTGCTGCTCTGCTGTATGCAAGGCCAAACCTCAAACCCCAAACACTGCATGAGCGCTATCAGTCTTTGCAGAATCAGCCGCACCGATCATCACATCCCATTGATTGGCATCAGAATGCAGAAGACGTAAGGATTTGCGTCAAGAAATCAAAATTTGGCGGTTTAAATAAGAGGTTTGGACTGTATTTGTGTTTGTTTTGGAACGTATGCTCTTCGTGGCTACATCATGTGACATTGAGAGTGTCTTCAAGCTATTGTCCTTGTATTGTGTCAAAGGGGATCTTTTAGTCTCTATATGCATCTCTCATATAGGCTACCACAAAAATTCACCTGTACTTCACACTCACTTCCTGATGAACAAAAAGACAATTTCACATGCAAAGCACTGTGCCACACTAAACATTCCCTGCCCTTGAAGACAGCTCCCATTTCTAGCATCCCTCTGGGTGGCTGGGAAAAGGCAAATTATGGGTCCAGATAATGAAAATAGTTTCAAATTGAAAGTGTGAACGCTAATGCGCTAAGAGGGAGCGCAGATCTCGCCTGTTATCTTATTAGCAGCTCCAGATAGCGTCGCGGTCCTCCCATCGGGCTGGCCGTTTGAGGCGCCTGGATGAGATTAATCAGGCCTTGAATGGAGTGCCGTAATGGCTACGATAATGAGCTGGGGAACGACGGGTCTCACTCGGGTCCTGCTCGCACTTTTCCCTTCATGGCCGTGCATCTTGTTCCAGGCCACCAAGGCCGCTTGAAGCATCCTGTTCCATTCAAATGTGACGATACATCCATCGGCTCGGATAAACGCTCCATGTCTGTTTTGCACATTTAGTGACGCTACACAGTTAATTTGCTGGAGATGTATTTAAGTTTTATTTAAGTGACATTCCTAATTTCCTGTAACAACTTGCAGCACATTTTCCAAATGTACAATTTAGTCAGCGTGTATATTACAGGCCATGTGTTAATCATATTTAATCTGACAGATGTTGCATGATTGGAAATGAGTAGGGCGGGAGGGAGCCAGACTCGGGCTGAAGGCTGCCAAAAAACTTAGTAACTCTAAGACTGTTCTTTTTTCACATTTGATCAGAGAGGAAACGCATGCACTGCCAAATTGTTGTTATCAGCACCCTTATAATCATGATCTATTAGCTGATTTTAGGAGGTATTTAGATAGCAGCTGACTGTGACCGCTTATTTATAGTCTGTGTGTGTGGTTGTGTAAGTGTGAAGGGTGAGTGTGATCGTGTGTGTGTTTGTGGCCAATGACAAATGGCTTCCTTGTGTCCCCCTAAGACCCAGATAATGATCACAGTGCATTTATGAAGACTGCAGATCAATCCTCTGTCTCCTGTGGTGTTACAACCCCCCGCCCAGACGCTGGCTCGTATCTACTGCCACCTGCCTTGCGCCATGCCGACAGCTCCTATCAAAACAATGTTTTATGGCAATACATTACATTTATTTCAATTAAATTCATTTCAATGTGTTACAATTCCAAGAGTTAAACGTACTGATTAACAAACACCAGGCCCGAGAAACAATTAAAGATGTTAAGAGCGTGACCACATATTACGTTGTGATGCTTGTGCAGGCACCCTGAGTTCATATCTGCCTCATGTCATTTCCCGAAACCATCCCTCCCTCTTTCCCGCCATCGTTTGTCACTTGCCACTGAAATTTTAATATATAGTGCTTGAGATTCATCAAGCGTATCTTTCTCCGCCCCTCTTAATAACAGGCTAGAGACCCTTACGGATCTGTGTCTCCCTCTACAGGTCATCAACGCCATTGAGCAAGACTACCGGCTACCCCCTCCCATGGACTGCCCGAGTGCCCTCCACCAGCTCATGCTGGACTGCTGGCAGAAAGACCGCAACAACCGGCCCAAGTTCAGCCAGATTGTCAACAACCTGGACAAGATGATCCGTAACCCCAACAGCCTGAAGGCCATGACTCCACTGTCATCAGGGTGAGTTAGAAAACATGCAGAATGTAGTTTTCTTGGATTATCAGAAGCAGATGAGTCGTGGTTGTAAAACCTAGTGGGCTGCCCAGTCTGACAGCATTTTAGTGCATCACTGATGTGAAGGGTGTTTCAAAAGATATGAATCAACTAGGGCTGCAGCAAATCATCGGTTAATCTTGTCTGCGCACTATGCAAGGAAAATATCTGTCAGTCAACTCACATTAAAGAAGTGAATAATTTGACCTTAGTGGAAATAGCGGAGGACGCAGTGTGAGCTTCTGTGGGGAAGTTGTCCTAAACGCGAGAATGCGTCATATTAGGGGCTTCAAAAATTGGTTAATGTGACGGATGCGTGTGCAGTTTAATGCATATGAGACACGTTTTCCTCAGCACTTAACTTGTATCCTTATTTGTAAATATTAGTCATGCAAGTGGAATACAAATTTTAGGATTAAAATGTAATACTTTTTTAATTAAAATTAATTTGGGATTTTTTATCATTGATGAATCGAATAAATAATCAAGATTAATCGATTATCAAAATAATTTTTAGTTCGGACCCTAAGAGCAACATGATGCTACCTTCTAAGATACCTTATTTTGAGAAAGCAACAGACTGAGTGAATATTTTTTTAAATGTGTTTTTCTCTTTTTAGGAAAAAATATCAGAAGTTAAATATATGTTACCAAATATATCTTTGCAATAGCTTCATGCTAACATCATATTCTGTTGTAATAAATTCACGTGTAGTGTGATAGGGAAGTCACCTGCAAGGTTGCAGCTCTCTAAGCTTTGAAACGGGGCATACGTTCAACACTTTGACTCATCTGACATAACTTGTGCAGTGTAGTGTGCAATAGTCATTACAATAAATCACATTTATGTGGAATGTCACAGAGATGTTTAAACAAGTTTCTACAGTATTTAGTTTATGGAGACACATTGCCTTTTTGGAAAAAGTAAAGACACAGACGTGAAACTTTACACTATGGTATGCCATGGCAGCATCAAGGGATCGTAATGGCGTTTTCCGTCTAACCGCTGCACATACATAATACTGTATTGTTTGGAGAGGAGTGCAGATCCATCCATGTTACATGATATATGTGTGGCTACAAAAACAGCTTTATTACTTGCTTTGAAGTTTCTTTTTTAAGGTATTTAGTATTACACCCTCGCCATTACACTGAAGTGTATGCCTGTTTGCATGTGTCCTTTTGTGTGCGTTTCATATATTAGGGGGAATTTTCTACGCCTGACCTTTTGCCAGAACCGTCTCGCTCGCATCATTCAAGGCATATTTACAAAACCAAATGGAATATGACCTTAATAGAAATGTCTTTAAACAGCCTCCTTCGAAATTATTACCATACTGTTTTCAATCTGGGGTCAATGCTTTGGTTTAAGTTCTGATACCTGTGGTAGACTTTATTAATGCTGTCAGTTATTTCTTTTGGAATTGAATTGCTACGTCCATAAATAAAATCAACTGGGTATATGGGTGATAGATCAAATCATTATTGAAAGCTTCAGGCGATCATGAACTTCAAACAATAGTAAAGCTGGTAGACGAAGACGAAGTGGGCAACACTCTAGTCAGTTTCTTGTGGACAAATGTAAAGTGGCCCAGTTTTTTCTGTCATTACACTGATGGTGAGAGGCTTTGGTTTTGCGCGATTCCCACCAGCTCTTTTTGCCTCGAGGCTTATATGCTACAGTAATGTTGCTAGAAAGTACAGTCATCTGGGGACATTAATTGCATTTTTTTGAAGAATTAAACAGGGCAGAGGATATTTTGCACTTAAATTCTTCCCTAACATCTTTTTGTCCTCTCCAGAGATTGAATTATATTGACCCAAGAAATAATATAGCTCAAAAATCCCAAGCGTGTCACAATTGCCAAAAATATGCACAAGATAATTTTTTTTTTTCATTGATGATAATATGGCAAATAAATGTGAACCACATGTAGTTTAGGGGGATTTTTTAGTGTGTACTTGGTGGCTAAAGGCTATATTTACTGCAACAGTGTGACTCATGTCTCTCTCTTTCTCATTGCCTTCCAGTGTGCATTTGCCCTTGCTTGACCGCAGTGTGCCCGACTTCTCTAGCTTTAGCACTGTGGATGATTGGCTGGACGCTATTAAGATGGGCCAGTACAAAGACAACTTTGCCAATGGCAACTTCACCAGCTTCGACCTCGTTTCCCAGATGACCATGGAGTAAGTGTTATACCTACGATAGAGAACAGCCTGGAATACAGCCATACTTTGATCACCAAGTCAGCAGAACCTCTGTCTAGGGAATCTTTTACTCCATAAGTGCTGACTATCAATTCATAATTTGGCTCTTGCTTTTAACTCACTGCACAATTTGGTAAAGTATAATATTTCATAGTATATAAAATACAAATATGTGTATATATACAGTATATATATATATATATATATATATATATATATATATATATATATATATTCTAGCATTCAAAAGTTTGGGGTCAGTAAGATAATAATAATAATATTAATAATAGTAGTAGTAATAGTAAAAAGACTATAAATAATAAGTCAATAAATTGACTAAAAGCGGCAGTAAATACATTTTTAATGTTACAAGAGATTTATATCTTGAATAAATGCTTTTTTTAACTTAATATTCATAAAAGAATCCTGAAATGTATCACAGTTTCCACGATTAAGCAACATTGATAATAATAAGAAATGTTTCTTGTGCAGCAAATCAGCATTTTAGAATGATTTCTGAAGGATTATGTGACACTGAAGACTTGCTGAAAATTTAGCTTTGCCATAGGAGGAAATTACAGTTTGTTTAAATTGTATTTCACATTACTGTTTTTACTGTATTTTTGATCAAACAAATGCAGCCTTTGTGAGCATAACAAAAAATGGATTTGTTTCTCTTTCAGAAACAAAAAAATCTTACTGACCTCAAACTTTTGAATGGTATATTATAAATATATATTATAAAAAACATTTATACATTAACCTAGATTAATACATGCTGTTAAAATGTAGTTCGTTGTTCATTCATTCATAATATTTTATGCATTAAATAAAGTTAAAGAAATTGAACCTTATTGTAAAGTGTTACCATTTATGTAAATGGCAGCCTTTTGCAGTGTAATGATAAATGCACAAGGCCATATTACGATTTCAGTTTTAAGATTGATTGTGTAGCTGTACTGTTCAATCTCCTTATTATCCCCTTTGTCTTTTTTCAAAATGAATTATCAAATGCAGTCTGAAATCATTTCTTAGTGATTAGACACAGTCTGGGTTTAAATTCAGAAACAAATTGTATATTTCCTCATCTTTGTTGCTGGCTGTCAATCACAGTGGAAATGGGAGCCAGAGAAATGCACGCTTAGATTCCTGTCTTCTCCTCTCCTCACCTTAACTGCTACCTGGCCAAACCAGACACGGCGTGAAAACAAAGGAGGTGTTGTTGTTTTAGAGACGCTTGGATTGTGCAACAAACAGGGTGATGGGGATAAAGGAATTTACCAGTTACTCAGTCTTGAACTAACATGCTAAGTTTACTTTGGCTTAATGTGCTGAAGCCAGTGAATAAAAATGTGTTACTACAGCATTATGGTATCTGCCTTCAGAGTGCTCATGTTTAATCTCGCCTCTTTCTCTCTGTGTGTGTTTGTACGTAGGGACATTCTCAGGGTCGGAGTGACACTAGCAGGTCATCAGAAGAAGATCCTCAACAGCGTTCAGATGATGAGGGCCCAGATGAACCAGATCCAATCGGTAGAGGTTTGACCACATGCCACGATTAGACTGGGAGGAGGACAAGAGGAGGCGGCGGAGAGCCAACGTGAAGGGATGGGGCGGCAACCACAGACCCTAAGCCTGATTTTCCTTCTGGACCACCTAGGATATGCACCTGCCCCCTCCTCCGAAACACTCTCCTTCTCCATCTGTGACATCTGAATCCCCCATTAACCCCCAGACACCCTAATGGGCTCGACTCGGGAAAGCTGCGTCTGGAAAATATGGTCACAACACCTGATCATTTAGCTTTAGCCGCCACCAATCACAGGATCACCGTTCAGTTTGCCAGCAACTGGCTCCGCCCCCTTGAATTTTCCTCTTACTTTTTCCAGTTTTATTCTTTTATTAATTTTTTTATTGTCTTCTTTTTTTAAAAAGAGTTTTTTGTAAAGAATTTTTAAAGCTATGAAAATAAGGAATCTATATAAATATATATAGATTGGTGTAAACTTGCTGACTGAATATGTGGACTAACTCGAAAGGCTACCCTTTAAAAGGGCAATGAAGAAACAGGAGATAAAAAAAAACTTCACCTCACAATACATCCTTCTGATTTTCTTTATTATATTTTAGGAAAATCTTGAATAGAAAGAAAGACTGTCTGATTAGTGGATACACACGGGACAACCTGCGGGACCTTGATCCCTGTCCCCTCGCTGACAGCCGAGGGAAAAGTATGTGAACACCATGAAATGGGACTTAATTTCGGCAGCTGATACTGCCTTGAAGAAAATATGAGACTTCAGTCATGTTGCCATTTAAATTACATCAACACAAACAAACAGACAAATGGAGAAAACAAGTCGAAGTAGTTATCACAGTGTTGAATTTGTGGTGCAGATTTCACATTGCTTGGGGGAAGAAAAAATAAATCTTTTACAGATGTCATAACAGTCTGCCAAATAGAGCATCATCCCTTTGTACCTCGTCCTGTACATATCAGGTGCACTTGACGTTGTGAGGTCATCAGTACGAGCCTGATGTAGTCCAACATTTAGTTCCAGTTTCAGTATTAGATGGATCTACATTGACATTTGATGGATTTTCTTCCGTGTGCGTGTGCGTGTATGGCTCGAGGGGGTCATCTTTTATATTCTTCCTCCTTTTTGTCATGGGCTAAGATGATTTAGTTTGAAAGACGGCATGCGATATTCTCCCCCACAGTTGCATAAAGACATTTTTTAGCGTGCTCTTTCCGTGAACTGCTTACAGAGAAGGACCCCGAGTGCCAGTATGGTGTGGTCTTCACATCATCTATGCTCTTCTTTTATGTTTGGATCCCTACCGTGTGCGTGTGCGTGTGCATGTGTGCGCTGTGCGTATGGAGCCCATGGAGCTGCAGAGCATGTGTGGTGCGAAACTGATTTCACAGGAAGCTTGGATTTGATACACTTTGAAGATCACTGTGTTGATATGCTTATATTTTTGCCACCAAAATCATTTCTTTAAAAAAAGAAGATGTTTTATAATAAGGTGTTTAGGGGTTTTCATATCTGAGAAAGTATGCAGTTAGAGGACATTTTCATAACAGGGAAGTGATTGTTCATTGTGAAGCATAGTTTTATATGAGGATATTGTTATTGTAGGACATATTTGAACTGGTTACATTCACCAATTGGGGCAAAGCTTAAATTGTACATCTAAAATGCTTATGATATTAAGCCGGAGTTTCATAGGACATTTAAACAACACATCACAAACAATAACGGCTGTAAATGAGTGTGTATAGGTTTTGTTTTATTTTTTACAGAGAATACACCCGTAATTCCTGCCGTTCTCGATGGTAAGGTACTTCCACGGTACTCTCTGAGATTTTTCACCTCCATGCCATAGACATAAGAACAATAAAACTCTGTATATAATATTCTGAAGCATAAACTCCCCGCTCAAAGAGGTTTTTCCTCAAAGCTGTGTTGGATTTTAGTGTACAGATTACTTTTTTTATGTGTTGTTGAAACTGAATGGAGAGTCGCTATTGTCTGTTTATTTTGGGCCTTTTCGTTTTGTACTAGGATGGGCTGAGAGATAAAAAGCAGCTGTAGAGATGAACGAGCCAGAAGCATCTTCATCCATGCAGGAGTGTCTGTGTGCGCGAGTGTGTTTGTGTGTGTGCACGTGCAGGTACGTCCATGTACCAGCATTAAGGTCACTGTGGTAAACAATATACTTCTCGCTCTGTCGACGAGGGGCTCGCTTTATTCCATAACCTCAGGGTTGACATGCATCTGTTAAAAGCATGCAGTACTGTGAGGTCAGTTCGGTGTAGGTAAGGTCCATAGGCTGAATCTCAGAGTGCTGATGAAGTTCTAATCAGATGGTGTTGACCATTCTCTGTTCTTCCCATTACATAATGCTTCCATTAGAATGAAGATTCTGTCATGCAGTGTTTGGGCAGGAAACACTACATCCAGCAGACAGGCCATGCCAGGTGTGAACTCTTGAGATGTGTAGTGATCAAAATCGAAAGGCTTAAGAGACAACCACGTAGGCTACACCTTCCTCTGTGTCCAGAAAGAGGTAGGATTTAACTTTCCTATGAGCTTGACAAACTAAGTGGTTTTAGCTCTCAGTTCATGGTAACTATTTCATCACCAGCAGGAGGATACAGGGAGAAAGGAAATGAATCTGGGCTTAACACCTTGTCCTAACCAGCAACGTGTAATTTGTCCGTCCACACTGAAAGCTAAACTATAAATCGCTGCCAGTGTTTCAGTTACACTACTGTTCTAAAGTTTGGGGGGCGGTAAGACTTGATAATGCTTTTGAAAGAAGGCTCTTATGCTCACCAAGGCTGCATTTATTTGTTAAAAAAAATACAGTAAGCAGCAATGTTTTGAAATATCATTACATTTTAAAATAACTGTTTTCTATTTTTATATATTTTAGTAATTTATTCCTGTGATGGCAAAGCTGAAATTTCAGCAGCCATTACTTCAGTCTTCAGTGTCACATGATCCTTCAGAAATCATTGACAACAGTTGTGCTAATTAATATTTTTTGTTAGGATCACATGATGAATAAAAATTTTAAAAGAACAGCATTTATTTAAATTAGACATTTTTTTGTAACAATATACACTTCTTAACTCTCACAGTCCTTGCTGAATAAGAGTAATAATTTCTTTGAAAATAATCTTTACTGACCCAAAACCTTTGAAGGGTAGTGAATATTTGGATGGGATTTGGGACCAATGAGATTTCACAGTGGGCAGAGCTACAGTATAAAGCTCACTATAGTCTAAGTGAGAGACAGAATATTCTCACATTATAAAACTTTGCCAGCGATGGTGCCACCAGCCGTCTTTACCTGTCTGTCCAGCACACATCCTCTCAATATTTAATGGTTTCTCAGTGTCACGGCTGCAGTGTGAGACTAAGGCTTTGAATCCCTCATCTTCCTCAGAATAACACTGCTTTCTGCTTCACCCTCCTTGGACAATCACTGTCACTCAAAGCTGCAGCCGACACACAATGATCCACACACATTGCTGCTGTACAGTATATCTAAAAAACTTGGACCTGCAGAAATTTAGAAGTTTAGTTTTCATGGCTACGTGCTCAGCAATATTTAGAGGTGCTGCCCGCAAGTTACGACGTCTTTTAAATCTGCCTAACTGCACCGGATTAACAGAGCTTTGAATGAAATCCAGTGTTGAAGGGATATCCTGTATTCCTGATCCTCATCTCCGTTTTCTTCCAATGAAATGTGTCGTTTCATGGGTCTTCGCTATTTGCAAAAAGACGTTTTTCTTGCAATTTGGCAATGATAATCACATGAGTTTCTGGCACTTTGCATCGAGAGATCCGAAGGAACATTAGCAGCCAATGAGCCTTTCTGTTTTAAGATATTGATATGTTGAAAGACTATGACATGCTTGATGTTTGCTATGCATTTTCTTCAGCAAACCTATATTTACATAGAAATATTTCATCACAACGATCTTATGTAATGCTGTTTTTCCACTGCATCTTTAACCGCTCAAGTTTGTTTCTCAGTAGGGGACTAATTACTTCATACGTCTCCTTCCCTCATTTGTCGTTTAACAGAACACTACGTAGACCACAGACAAATGAGATGTGGCGTCAAGAGTGTGAAAGAATGTCACGCTGAGTGATTTAAGCACTTCTTATTGTTTTTTCCTCATGGATTATCACCTTAAACACATAGTTTCTACCACAACACAGCTCTAAGCCTTTAAAAGTGCTGGGAAAGATGGTACGTAGACATTTTTTAAAACTGAGAACCCTTTTTGCTCAGATTGCTTGAGAAAATAACCAATAAGCTTCCATTATGTGGACATGCGAACTGCAAATGCTCCTTCTGGCAAGCTAAAACGTGATCAGCACAGAACCGTGCACCATTTAAAGGTTTTTGTTGAAAGCTGGGTGACAGCAAGCTGTGAACAGCATGCTCACAGCTACAGCCACAGCATAATACCAATGCAAAGCCATTATTATGATGATTATGTGCGACTGTGAACGTAAATACAAGCTGGTCTGGCTCGCTCTTATTGGTCAATATTTCTGCCTGCATCCTCCAAATATGGTGGGTAGTTCTCGGATAGAAAATGGCTTCCTGAACCGAGCTGTAGTGCCTGTAGGGTCGCAGTACCCTCTGGTGTTAGGAAGACAGTAGTGCATTCTTCCGCGTGTCTCTCAGCCCTGGTTTTCATTACAGGGCAGCAGACTTTCTCTCTCTCTCTCTCTCTCTCTCTCTCTCTCTCTCTCTCTCTCTCTCTCTCTCTCTCTCTCTCTCTCTCTCTCTCTCTCTCTCTCTCTCGGCTAGCCCAAATAGAGCACCTGGACACCTGGACCACTGTGACAGAGATTTGAGGTCCTGTTTCGCTGTATAAAATGTACATTTGACTGTAACCCTGTGAATGATGTAACAATTTCATTATTTGTAATATTGTTATTGGTTTATTTTCTAAAAATTGAAAAAAGCCCAACTTGACTCTCCTCATTAAAAAATGAAATGAGATCTGTTATACAACGTTCTGTGATTTGTGTGTTAGCCTCAGTTCTTGTTTTCCTGATAGCACATTGCGTTAGCAATGCCAAAGTCATGGGTTGAACTTGAATGCATAATACTAAAAATGTATAGCTTGAAAGAAGTGTAATTTGCTTCAGATAAAAGTGGCAACAAAATATTTAAAGAAATATTCCAGGTTCAGTATGTTTGCTCAATCAACACGTTTGTGGCCTAATGTTGATTACCAGAAAAATGTATTTTCTTAAAAAAATATGTTGATTAAAAAAACTATTGTAAAAGGTCATAATTAGTCAAATAAAAACAACGAAATAATCAAAATAAATAATAATTTACATGATCAAATTCATCTT